GATTTGATGTTATTTAAACATTAATGTCTTTCATAACATTAACTCATTCATTCACTATAACATATATATAAATGTAGAGCCTAATGATGAATTTATCGAAAAGAGTACTCTTTGTTCAGCATCCATTCTTTTGAAAATTTTAATGGGCATTTTTAATCAGTTAGAAATTATAATCCCTACGAACCAACAAGTTATACCGATTAATGAAGAGGACTACAGATGAAATGTAATACCAACTTGCGTTTTTTGGTTATCTGTGGACATAAAATGCAGTCAATATGCTATGGCTTAAAAGATATTTGTCTCTATTCTGTTGTTTTTCTAACTGTAGTAAATCACACCGTGAAATAGTAATACAGTTACTGAATACAGTTACTAAAGCTCAAAACATTATTATGATTGTTTTGTTAACACTGTTCCCTGAATTAAAGTTTTGTTTGCAATAAAATTTTAATCTTGTTCCATCATGGATTGATATCAGTTAAAGAACCATTGAAAAAGCAGCAGAGAGTACTGAACAGCTATTTCGTCCTGCAAGTATTGGTCCCTTTAGCAATAAATGATAAAGACAACTCCTCCCCATGCGTCGGGTCAGAGACTTTGAGAGAGTTGGAAGAAGTTAGAATTTATGGACCACTGAATTTCCTGTCAATGGCCTAATGGTCAGCGACCTCGCCTTTTGAACCTGAAGGTTCTACCTCCTACCCTCAATTAAGTCACGGGTGCGTGATGCTGAACACTCTCCGACTGGGATGAACCAGATGTCCGGTACTTATTTGTTCCTTAACTGACACCAATTCATGACCAAACCTCTTGGAAGCACTTAAGTGCCATACAAGATGATATTTTCTGGAAGAATAATAGTTTCTGCGTTTCTTCCTAGCGTAGGACTCTTTATCAGTGCGCACACAGTGGAGTTGGAATTCAGGACCTGCTGGTTGCAAGGCGAGGTTGCAGACTATTCAGTCACTTGGAACTGATCCGATGGTCCATACGTTCCAGCTTCAGCCAGCTTTTCTGACATGTACTTAGCGCAACCACCAGCGAATATAACAGGCGGGTAACTCTTCTCTTGCCTAACGTATCGGACCCCAATGGTTACGACTTCTCACCAGGGTCCCAGTTACTTCCTGCATAGGGCCAGTTGCTAATGAGCGTCAGAATAATTATCAAGTGTCGGTTTGCAGGGATTTGATTGGTCACAGGACTGATCACACTTGATATTATAGAAGTAAATGAACCCTTATCGATTTTCAGGTATTAGTTTTGTAGGGATTTTGTTTGATTGGATAGAGGATTTCATAATGAGCTGGCATCACTTGAAGAACTACTGGAATACCTGTAGGGAGTTCTGGACAGCTGTTTTCTCCGTCCCAGTTTGGGACTCTCTGGCAGTGCGCACTCACCCCAAGGGTCCGAACCTAGGACCTTCTGATCACAAGGCGAGCTCGTAGACTATCCAGCCACTGGGACACGATCTAATGACCAGTCCATGAATTCTAACTTCTGCCGATTCATGACACAACGCGACCGCTAGCCAATGTCTTTGGCGAGTGTTTTTTCTCTCACCTGACCTGCTGTACCCTGCTGGCCACGGCTTCCCACTAAAACCCGAGGTCACTACCTGAAGATGAGGCGGCAATTCATCGAAGAATACATTGCGAAATGACAGTAGGGTGCAGCAGGTCAGGTTTGAGGACAAATACTCGCCTAAGACAATGACTAGCGGTCACGCTATGTCGTGAATTGGCAGAAGTTAGAATTCATAGACTGGTCATTAGATAGTGTTCAAGTGGCTGAATGGTCTACTAGCTCACCTTATCGATTTGGTTACTTTCCGATGAAAACGTCGCCAATTATTCAATAGGATAACTTTAATTTAGAATCTTAAACTACTGAATGACAATACTATACAGATCGACTAAAATAATAAAATGGAAAGGGTTAATTTCTACTTCTGTGATTACTTCTCACATCAGATTATTGTAATACACTAAATTTTCAGAAAAAGCATGCATTCATATAACTCTGCATTATTCTAAATTCATGATGCATAAAATCTAAAACGGAAGCTCACAAAATGCTTTAAATTTTGGGCGTTATTGAAAGGCGTGAAGGAATGAAAGCGTTTTTTGTTAAATGCATAAATAACACATTAGCTTACAATCATTATATCATTTAATACAGAATTGACCACTGAAAAATTAATTAACTTAAGTCATCTATGGCAATTTATTTTTTAATGACACTTCCAAAATGGGCTTTTCTGTCCACTTGTATGATAATGTAATAGAATGAGGAGAAAAAAGAAAAAGCATAACATTTTCAGATTAGTGGAACCAAACTCTAAAAAAGGACGAAGCTTAAGAAAAACTTCAGTTTAAATATATGCGTATTATTTTCCCCTTGAGTTCCAATTTGAACACAGGGATTCAACGGAGCATCTCCTTTTCATTCAGTTCCCTCGAGTCGTCCTTAGCTGGCTCCAAGATTCTCCAGAGGCTTCCGTCTCCTCACACGATTTCCTCCATCTTATCCCTGAATACACGACTAACCTGTTGCTTTACATTCTGGGTGCAGTTGAGCGATGGCCCGGAGGATTGTGTCATCCGGCGGTCTCCTGAGTGTTTGTCAGATCTATCACCATTTCCTTAGCTGCATTTGTTGAGTAATAGTTTTTAGATCACCAATTATCTCCGACCGGTCGGCCATCTGTTCTTCAGTAAGAAACCATTGAAGTGGGCAGCTCTTGATAAGAGTCTGCACACAGAGGAACTGAGGGACTTGAAATCCGTGTTGAAAATTTGACTTTTATTGTTCACACTGAGTTAGTGAAGGAAACCTTCAAATGAATATCTGATATGCTGGTTTTGTAATCCTGAACCGTTCCTACTACCTATAGTTTGAATAATCTGCATAGATAAAGGAATTAAGTGAATTCTCTCAAATTCATTCCGTTGATAACGATTAGTGTTTGTTGTTTTTGTTTCTTGGTCATCTGCATCACCTCTGTATTCTCTGTATTCACTCGAAGTTCTGTCCTCACTGCCTGCTTCTTCTGGTAAACTGTCGGTTTCCTCCTGTAGGTCTTCGAGTTTATGCGACATTAGACATAAATCATCCACGAAGGCCATATATACATATATATATGCAAAACGTAGCTGATATTATACATTCCCCAGTATTTCCTTCTAATCCTGTATGAAATCCCATGGCACGAGTTCTCATCAGCCATATTCCTTGTTTCATTATACCAGTTCATAGATTGCAACTGTATTTATAGATTTAAGTGTATATCTTCTTCAGCTGAAAACGAGCTCTTTCTAAAACCAAGCTCCATATCTTTCGCCTTTAACTTACTGTAACTATTGGTTTTAATTTCTTCTGATCAGGCAAAACAATCGGTCGAAAATCCTTGGTTTTAGTTAGAAGACAACTAATAATAACCAACTGACAAATAAGCAGCCTTTATGACTTTATATTGATGAAGTGGGCTGTCAAACTGTATTATCAGTTGAATACAAGTGTCAGATCATTTGTCGCTATCTATCTGAATTCCATCAATACTTTCAGGCTGGTTTGTCAATATATATATATATATATATATATATATATATATTACTCTTTGTTTCAGCAGGCGAAAACAATCCTGATGAGTCAGTCATTCTTCACCAAAATGTTGTAGTTAGCAAATGTCTAGTTTATACATATGATTTTCATGGAAAACTTATTTAAATTTATGTATTTTGCTCAAGCTGTGTCACAGCAAATGGTCTTCGTCTAACGGCCTTAAACTAAATCCTTCCAAATCTCAGGCTGTTAATTTCAGTTTCCAATGTAAAAGAAAGTTAAATGAAGCTGTTAATTCCTATGACCGTTACAAAAGTGATGATAGTTGATATAGAAATCAAGTGTGAATTTAAGTATCTTGGATTAATTCTTTCTTCTGACCTATCCTGGTCTTCCCATGTCTGAGTGATTTCTAAAAGAATATTTCGTCTGACCTTTTACATTAAGAAGTTAAGGCACTCAGGCATAACTCAACCCCTCCCCTTACAGTTTGTCAACTCGCGTATTTTACCTATTCTACTTTACTGTTCACCCCTGCTTATTCTTACCTGGATTGCTTAAGCAAGACTCTGTCATACTTCGTAGAACTCTGAAGACTGTCGATAAGACGAGTGGTATCCCATTTGGCCATATCGTTGACATTGTCACTGATTGGAACTTGATGTCATGCAACAAATTTGTTGAAGGAATTTTGTCAGACTGTGAGCATCCACACCAGCACTCCCAGCTCCAACCATGTGTCTCCTCAGGTAAAACAAGAAGTCTTTTCAGAAGACTTTATGCGCGTACGTCTAAGTATAAAAGTTCCACTATACCATATTTGGTGGCACGTACTTTATGTGATGAAAATAGTGTCAGGCATGAACTAACTAACCTTCTTTGCACTACTAAATAAACCATTTCCTCCACCCTTACAACATCAACCTTCACTGTTATTCTTCTTCTTGTATCTATAATCCTCTCAAATTTTTGTTTTTATTTGTTTATTTTTTTCATAAGTGTGAACATAATTACGCTGTGTTGGAACTGTTAATTTCGTACTTTCCCTCTACATACTATATCAACAGAACATTAGATTCAAAACTCTATAATAACATGCTAAAATTTCCAAACTGAATCGACAACACTGTTTGAAACAAACTCACTGTTATTATTATTATTATTATTATTATTATTATTATATTTAATATTCTAAATTCGAACTTCGAATATTTTTGACTTTATATCGTAAACGTGGACAAATTCCTCTGGTTACTTTTGTTTTAATTTTTAATTTTATTTCTATTTAAAGTAAGTGAGATGCAGGGTGTTGTGACAAATGCTGAGAATTTCATTCTGTATTCTAAGTACTGTTTTTGGAATTAAGTAAATTATTATTATTATTAATGGATTGGTCATTAAATGTACGTTAAGCATAATTCATAACTTACCATCTTCTGTTAAACTCTTCGTGGTACTTGTGACAGTATCAGCAGGACCTTGATTCGACTTGGCACCATTGGACTGATTAGGCTGATCGGAATCATTCTGTAAATAAGAAGAAAAAATCAAATAAGTTATTTCTGTATGAACGAACATATATATACTCAGGTAATTAAACATCGTGTGGCTGATAACATACTTGTGTAATTTTTATTTATTATTGTTCCCTTGGGTTCCAAGTGGAACATAGGGTTTCAACTGTACGTCTCCACTTGTCTCCATTGCATGTCTCCACTTGTGTCGTTACTGCTGAGTACTTAATGCACTGAAAGAACACGTGACTGAAATCCTATGGCATTATGAACCTTTTCTAATGTTTATTAATAATAATACTGATATTAATAGTAGCAATGATTTGCTTTATTCCAAAACAGTACCTTTGATACTGTGTGTGGAATCATCAGCATTTGATGATACAATACTGCACCAGCAACAAAAGGCATTAGAGGGTATTTTTTTCCTTCATGTTCCCCAGTGGAACATAGGGCTTCAAGCTAGTGGCTTGAAGTTTCTGTAGCAGTGTTCTTAATTTTACAGGATGGGGTTGCTAGCCTCATGACCAACCTTTCCTCTTTACCAGCATTATTTCTGGCTCATCGAGGTAAAGGAGGAGTGTGTCGGCCGGGTATCGAACCTTGGACCATGTCCATGGTAGGCGAGCGTCCTAACCGCTAAGCCACCGATGCACATTAGAGGGTATAGGTAAAACAAAATTGATAATTTTCGAAATTCTTGATTATAGCGTGACTCCACTCAGTATTTTGGTAGAACTATGGAATTTTCAGCACGTGATATCGGTAGCCCAAATTGGCGAATTTTAACAATAGCGTCCCATGAGTGTGAAAGCTCCAATAATCTTCAACGCAAGCTAGTTGTTGGTTAACGGCACCTGTTATTATCACTGCTGAAATATCAACACTATTCACCAAATAAGCAGTAAATTTCACTCAGATCACGTTTTAAAGTACTGTTTCGACAATGTGTTAATAGCTCGTTAAGGTTAGGATTAGGGTTAAGGTAAGTATTGATGTTCGGGTTGGGATCAGAGTCATAATGAGGATTAGGGTTAGGTTTACAGTTAGGATTAAGGTTAAGGTTACGACTAGAGATTAATTTAGAGTTGATGTAATTTATTTTAATGTTTTCTTATCCACAGTTTCCTGGTAAGTTATCGTCAATTCTCTTACTGAAAACAATAGTAATTCAACCAAGAGCTTTGAGGATGACTGCAGCATAGAAGAGATGAATGGTTCACAAAAATAGCTCATCTTCAGTCACCTTGGTGAATACATGTACAAAAACGTGTTTTCATGCATTTTCTTGTAAATATACGTCATTTTTTGTGCGAACGTCCCTTGTTTTTATGATTGGTCAGCTGAAAGTCACTCGTGCGTTCGCACCCCTTGGGACGCTATTGTTGAATTCTCCCCTAAAATTTAGTAAGCCGACCATTGATATCAGGTGTGCATCGGCTGGGGATCGGACCCTGGACTATGTGCATGGTCGGTGAGCGCCTTGACCGCTCTGCCACCGACGCATTAATACCAATAGCAAAGTCAAAAATTTACAAAAGGTATAAAGTAATAATACTAAAAACCACAATTATAAGATAATTGAAATAGGTTCACTACAAGTGACAAATAGAAGAAGATGAAAGATACATTTATTTTGTAAATTACACTTTCTGCACCACAGAGAATGCAGGTCAAATAGGTCATGGTTGTTGTTTTTGTATTTGGTTGTGAGAGTGTATAATTTTGTTCAGTGACTTTTTGTGAATAAAGGGGTTGATGAGAGTTAGACTATGTGGCTTTTCACCACTTCTCGAATGAGTTCAAATATCTGTCAACCTTCGATGGTAACAGGTTACTTAGTATCACACCGCATGACCTACTGTTAGCTTATAATAACCCTCGAAATGTCTTCCAATTCCTTTTTGAATGCCTCAGGAAAGAGGAATGGGGAGGAATAAAGATCAACAGGGTTTAAAAATTATCGAATTATAAGTTGATTGATACCTAATTGTCTTACCTTCTTAATGTAGAATGTTAAAAGAGATATTTTCTTAGAAATCAACATGATATGGGACGACTAAGAGTTGTCAGAGGAACTTTAATTGAATATGTTTTGATGTAACAAATTCTATCCCTATAGTAAATCGGTCAGACAAAATGTGAAAAGCATTTGTAGGCGAACTTCGAGGTGCAAGAATTCACTTAATATGCGTCATAAGACTAGCAAAAGTGTTTGATTCAAAAAGATGAAACTGAATGGAATAAAAATGCTAAATACTCTTTATTCTCTAAGGGTTTACTAGGTAGTAAATACTTTCGAAAGGTTTTGTACAACGGTCGAATTATTCTGCATAAAAAATAGGGTAAAGTGTTATTTGAAATTTTAAAAAAGTATGTTAAAAGACTAATCGCTACCTAGTGAATATGCCCTACATCCGCTTTTTTTCCAGTGACTGATTTTAGGATTTGATCAGATCAAAGCTGCAAAGTGGTACCGAGCTGTCATTTAGACCAATCTAATATTAGGAACCATACAGCGCAAATCACCATCAACCGGAGGGGTTCGAAAGAGGTTAGTTACTTCATTCACTCACTTATCTAGCATTCAGCATTGTCTCAACTACAGGAAGTCGAAACGGACGAGGATGTCAAATCGAGCGAGAATCGGGATGGCCAGCAAGAAACACATTCATCACCAACGTGAAACCAATCTGGAAATCTTCGTCACACAATTCAGCATCAACAACAACAAAATTCCGTCGGATTTTCAATACAAACCTGGTCAAGTTAGTCAGCTCTTCTATACGGATCAGAAACTTGGTGGGCGGCCGGGTCACAAAGAATATTTACAACAGCCTGTTGAAGACCAGACCTTCATCAAACAACAACTGTCTCAGCTAGATCTATACTGAAGATCAGATGGCCAGGCCGGGCCGGAAAGAATTACCATTAATAAACTATGGGAACAAACAAACAAACTAACTAACAAAACAAGAACAAACCAGTCGCCAACCAACAAATATGCGTGAGAAAGTGGAGATGGAAGGATTGGACACTCGCTCACTGGGGAGGCACAGCGCTGGGTGACATCGCGCGCGCGTCAGGCCATTTCTCGAGTGGAACCAGGCCGAAAGGGAAGCACGCGGTGAGTGAGACGTCAGTGCAAGGGTGGGTGACATGGAGGAGATGGTGTGAAGAGGAGTTGAAAGAGTATGGACTAACATGGATGGATGGAGGTGAAAAGTACAGCAGAAGGAAGACAGAAGTGGCAAGTGAAGACGTGGAGTTGAAGCTCTATGTTCCACTAGGAACCCAAGGAAACAATAATAACACAGTATTCAACAAAGAGACTCTTTTCAGAGAATTTATCATCAAATAGAATGACAGCATATATATGCGTGAGGAAGTTTAGGCACTGGTGTGAATACTTAGAATATAACCGATATGATATTCAGTCAAAATGTTTGTGATTACAGCCGTCGTTAAATACCGAGCGGTAAAACAAAGAGCGTTTAGATTTAAAATTACAGGATTAGTAGGCAAATAGAAAACACGTTAAATAAATATTACTTGAAGTTGGATAAGATAGAATTTAAACTTACAAAGAAATTTTTCATTTAGAATGACAAGTGGGACAAGTAAAACAAAATACCAGAAACGGTTCAAACCCAGATTAATAACAATAACAGTAATAGTACTAATGAGGGGAAGGTAAACAGATTCACTAAATATGTAAAATTAAAAGTGTTAAATAAATCGATAAATGCTTATCCATCTACAGCCAGAGTAGAAATTGGGAGAGCATAGACTTTCTTTGTAAAAGAGGTCTGGTTTGAATTCATAAATGGCTAAGGGATCTGCTCTGTTTAGAAGTTTAGAACGCAGAAAACGTGACAGGTTAGCAGGAATTCGGTAGATGACCTTAAAGTCATGGTCAGGGTTGGTGGAGTGGCAGAAGTCAATCAAGTGTTCTAGAATAGAGTTCCGCACACCCTTCACTTCTTCCATGCTGGAATATGTTTTCATATCCGTGTGGAATGTGTTCCCTAGTTATGGCCAACGCGTTTTGCTTTGCAGGAGGTGTTAGATGTACATGAAGGAGGACAAACAACGCAGTTCATCCTTCATACAAAGAGAGAAAAAAACGTCTGGTTGATAAAGATCAATCGGAGTTCCGCTGCAAAAAACGTCTTACAGACTTATATAGGGAGAAGATTTTACAAAAGATAGGAAGTTCGAGGACCTTCAAATTCCAAATAAATGAATATGGTTAGCATTTGAACCGAGTTAGTGACCATTTCAAGATTTTAACTTTTCGTGTATTTTGAATAAATCAGTTTGGTTAACTTTCTCCAGAAGACTTGGCTTTTGGCGAAGAAAGTTCTGTGTCACTGCAACCAGAGCTGCAAATAACTATCATTCTATTACAGAGGAAATGGATCACATTTCTTTTACTGGAAATATGCTCCTAACAATAAACACTAGCTAGTTGACAATCCCATGTACGCTAACGGTCAATGAATCTTTTATGAGATCCATCTAGTTTGAAACACGTCAAGAAAAAGAATGCCTAAATCAGATCCCTTTCTTACTTAAAAGGATGGGTTGCAGTTGTTATATGGTGGCAAATTAACGTGAAGTTTCGTGTCCTTATCGCAGATAACGACAGTGTCATCCACCACTCTTCTGTGGATTTCACAACGATCGGAAGTTTGACCAACTTGAGTGTTTTGAAGCTGTTAAAATAAAACAGTCAGCTAGCAGTGGACTTATTGTGAAATCATTGGCAGGGGATCCTACCATAAATAAATCTCAACAGGGATACTGACAACACTATGTTCAAACTATGTGAGCCCCGAAATTATCGTATAACAACAAACAGTTTCTGTGAGGTGTAAATTAATTAATAACGAAGTCACATCTAATGAGAATATGACTTTGTCTGAGGTATTGAAATCTTTACTATCCTCAATAAGCTGAAACGTATCACTAACGGGATACTTACTCACTTGCCTTTAATTGGTATCAACA